GACACAAATGACTCTCTGCTGTAGCCTAAATGTTCATTTTGCTCTTCACCTGAGTATAAAAGCCAAGCTGCTTGCTACTTACGTCTCTGGTCAGCTGCTGAATTTTGGGCGCTGTGTTTGGTTTTGTCCCTTTTCTTTCTCTTGGGTGGCTCTTTGCTGTCTCCTGCAGACTTCCTTCTGCCATCTTTCATGCACCCATTTGTGCTTTGACTGCAGTCTGCAGATGTGGAAAACACCAAAAGCACATCAGCTCATTAGATCATAGACACAAATATCTCCTTCATCTCCTTAATCTACCCCTCACTCAGCTAATTAGTCTACCTTTACCAGCGTCCAAGGAGGAAGACGCTTGCTCCTTGTCACCGCTCGTAGGCTCAGCAAGTTTAGGCTTCTTTGCTGGACTGGTTGTGCCCGCTGCATCTTGCTGGACCTTACGCTTCACTCCTTTGACCTCATGAGTGTCTGAGCTGGTGGAAGGAGCAGCCTGCTCAGTGACCCTCCTCCTTTTTACAGGGGTCTTCCTTTCAGGACTGGCCTTTCTTTTAGCCATCCTGTTCTTAGAGTCTGTCAACAACAACAACAACAACAACACAGTAGTGAAAAAGAGTGCTCGACATCAGGACTGGAAGGATTTTGATGGCGTATTTGTTAAATTCTAATAACAAGTTTATCCTTTTGATACAAACAGAGCAACACCAGTCCATACTAGGTCTACTAAGTCTTAGATCTTCATGACACTTGTTGGTCTGTTTTTACTGCTGAGTCCAACAATAAACTTGTCCCATTATTTTACCAAAGACAAAGTGCCCCAGTAACCTTTCTTTGATTAAATGTTGTATTTCTGCTATTTTCACTCAAACACAGGATTCAAATGATTCATTTTTACACAGAGTCTCAACATTTTTAGAAATGTAGATTCTGTTATTTGGGGGATTTTACACAGATTTGATGTATTTGTTTACTTACTTTGATCTCCTGGATCTTTCTTATCTGCTGGACTTGTATTTTTTCTCATTTCCTTGTTCATCTTAATTTAAAAATGTTTCAAACAGGAAAATGTAGTGAATATTTCTTCAAATGTGTGTGCGCTTGTCTTTTCTAAGCTGTTTAAGCGAGTTCTGTAAGTGAGCTTTCAAAATAAACTCAGGAGACTATGGCAACAGAACCTTGCCTTTCAGTGACATAACTGACTGCCAGCAAAAGTGTTCCCAAGTAGTTTAAAGAAAAACACTGTGGCTGACTAAGCCATAATATTTCATATAATTCAATAATTTCATATTAATTCAACTGTTTCTTTCATTTTATTTTTATTTATTTTTTTATATTTTAATATTGTTTGTATAAAGACTTGATGTGTGGCTGCCAATATGAACAGTTCTGGTTGACCTAATACTTATAAACACAGTGTCAGCTACGTTGTCATCTGATTTAACGTATTTATTTACATTAAACTTTCTTATTATATCAAACGATTAACCAATAACAGAGTGTGTTACTATCAAATGTGAAATAAAATATAACAGTTTTTTATAAAGCCATTGGTAACTGGGTTGTTTTTTTTTCTGTTAGGATCATTCAGTAATACAATGTGCATGTAGGTCCAACCATCAATTTCTATCACTTGGTCAAAGGCTGAGAGTTGGGTGTCATCCCGAGACTGCTCCAGTGGAAAATCTCTCACGGGGTGGCGGGCCCTTGTAGTGAGGCCCTATCTCCTCCCCCCGCGTCACCCTGAGCCCAGACACTACACGCTACTAAAAGTTGTGATCGCATCCCCAGATACTGCCCCAAAAGGTTATTAAACCCCAGCCAATTTGTTTCCAAAATTAGGGGATGTGACAGGCACAAACTAACTGCAGCCTTTATCCTATGTGTTTTGCATGTGAGTGTCCCCATGCACAGAAGCCCCAGTGACGCAGAATACCTAAGGTATCCGTCTGTGCCGCCCTCGGTGCTTTGGGTGCAGTGCCTGTTGCTTCTTGGGCCCAGGGAGGCAGAGGGGGAATACGAAAAGTCTAAAGACACCATTTGACCTCAGAACTGAAGAAGCTTCTGGGATGAGAGGTGAAACGTCTTCAAGCAACGTAAAGAAGTCCAGACGCTTTTCTTTCCAAGCTCCTTAGACTCTA